CATGGTCCTGGCACCCCCTGCTGGCGAGGCTGGGCCCTGTGCCCTGCATGGTCCTGGCACCCCCTGCTGGCGAGGCTGGGCCCTGTGCCCTGCATGGTCCTGGCACCCCCTGCTGGCGAGGCTGGGCCCTGTGCCCTGCATGGTCCTGGCACCCCCTGCTGGCGAGGCTGGGCCCTGTGCCCTGCATGGTCCTGGCACCCCCTGCTGGCGAGGCTGGGCCCTGTGCCCTGCATGGTCCTGGCACCCCCGACAACTGGTGGCAGCAGCAGGGTGACCAGTCAGAGGGGCTGGATGCCCTGGCCTGAGAGTTTGAGGGGGGGTGTGTGCGGGTGCGTGTGTGTGTGCATGTCTGTCGTGTGTGTGTGCACGTCTGTGTGTGTGCACCTGTGTGTGCATGTATGTGCACGCGTCTGTGTGTGTGCACGTCTGTGTGCGCGTGCTGTGTGTGTGTGTGCATGCGTCTGTGTGTGTGCACATGTGTGCGCGTGCACATCTGTGGGTGTGTGCATGTGTGTGCACGTGTGTTCATGTGCATCTGTGGGTGTGCACATGGGTGTGTGCACTTGTGTGTGTGTTGCGGTGGCACCCTGCATCAGGCCATGTCGAGCAGCAGAAAGGGGGGAGCTGGGTTTGTGCTGACGGCACCAGACTGGAGCCAGGACTCCTGGGTTCCCTCCCTGGCTTCAGCCACAGACCCCCTCCCCCACTCCTGACTCCTCCATTATGCCGGGGGCTGCCCAGACACCCCCCCTCCAGCTGGGACCCCCTGCCCGAGGGAGTGTCCATCTCAAAGGGGGCTCCTGGTGCTTTCCATTCTGTGGGGAAACTGAGGCCCAGCCCTGCAGAGGAGCAGCCTCAGGACTCCTGGGTTCCCTCCCTGGCTTCAGCCACAGACCCCCTCCCCCACTCCTGACTCCTCCATTATGCCGGGGGCTGCCCAGACACCCCCCCTCCAGCTGGGACCCCCTGCCCGAGGGAGTGTCCATCTCAAAGGGGGCTCCTGGTGCTTTCCATTCTGTGGGGAAACTGAGGCCCAGCCCTGCAGAGGAGCAGCCTA